TCATATTTTCTATTTATATTTTAGGAATTTCCATATATTTAATTCCTAAATTTAAATAGTTAATTAATTGATATTTTAATATTTTAATTCTTGACCAATCAAATAATGCCAAGTGTCAAATCTTATTCTTGGTAAATAAATCATATCTTCTAGAAGATCATGGAAGATTTAAGTGGATCTAGAAGATCTTGGGAGATCTAAGTAGATCTTAAAGATCTTATGTGAATCATCATGGACCAATCAAATCGCGTCCTACGATTCTTAAATTTGGTAGGGTGTTCTCTCCTACACCTATAAATAGGGGCTCTCCCTGATGTCAAAGATACACATCATAATTTATATTCAAGTTCAAGAGCTCTAGAGAATTCTTTCTACAAGTTTCAAGTGTTCTTGAAGATTCGAAGCCGTTCTTGAAGATTCGAAGGAAGATTCAAGCACATTCAAGCTCAAAACCGACGTTTAATCTGGAAACAAGCTATCAAACCTCCGAATTACGTTCATATTCAAGTTCAAGATCAAGATCTCTCTACGAGATTCAAGTGTTCTTGAAGATTTAAAGGCGTTCTTGAAGATTCAAAGCAAGATTCAAGCGCGTTCAACCTCAAGACTAGCGTTCAATCCGGAAACAAGCTGCGAAGCTTCCGAATAACGTTAGTAAATTCAAAACCGGCGTGAAGAAGATTCGAGATCTACTTTGCGGCGAAGACCAAGGATTCGTGTTCTTCGCGTTCTTGGGATATTTGGACGTTTGATCCGGGAAAAAGCTTTAAAGCCCTTGGATTACGTTAATTCAAGTCAAATCAAGTCAATGAGAAGATCAAGCCGAAGATTTCGCTCCAAGACTTAAAATATTGTTTGTGAGAAGAATCAGAGGAATAATAGAGATTGTAACCCACTATATTAATTTGATTCGAGAAATTCATTTGAATAATATTTTTCGTGTTTTTCAATTCAATAAACGAAATTTGTTGTTACACAGTGCACGATTAAGTACTCAAAAAAACTCTCACAGCAGCACGAACATCATTCTTTTCAATATGGTTCTTATATTGATGGAAGCCAGGATCTTTAACGATATTTTTAACTGTAGCCAACACATCCTCATTCCCAACCTTAGCTCGTTCGCCATATTTTATTACTAACTTATGGCCTTTATTGTCCGTCTTAAAGGTCTCGACAAGCAATTGAATAAAGTGGGGATCCTCCAAAACTTCATTAGCTAAATCATGATGCAGTTTCGCGTAAAACAAAGTCTCATCATCTTTAGAATCAAAGATGTGAAGGAATTCCATACATTGTTGTGTTTTTCCAAGAAGGCGGGAATCTTGTTTTAAGTCACACGCCAACTCGCCAATGAATGGTTCATATTCAAATTTCTGAATAGGAGTCCCATGCTCCATTAACCATGTAAGGTGTTCCTCCGACAAGTCAAGCTCCACGACACGCACGATCTCTCTTTCGATAATTTTAGATCTATCTTCTGCAGCTTTATGTCTACAGTCTCCATCATAACACATTAACTTCTCATCAAACTCGACACGCAACTTTTTACAACTCCAATACCCAAGTAAAATGATCAAAACTCTCCTTATCATTATAGCAGGAGGCATTTTGAGTTGGAGAATATCACTCAAGTTGTGATCTGCCTTTATACGGCACATACGTTCTCCAATTTGTTCATGTTCCACTTCATTCGAAAGTTTGTCTATGATGTCGGGAACGATGCAATTCTCGACAAGCAATCCATAAATCTTGAAATTGAATACCACATTTCTCTATATTCTCATAACCAGAGCAAAATGCTCAATTGCAGAGTCATTAAATGTCCAATTCTCGAGAACTGTAGAAGCTTGGAGTGCCTCTAGAAGTTGTTGTGCCATTTGAACACCATACTCATCTTTGGCCAGTTCATCACACATATTGGTGATGATTGGATCCAAAAGAAATCTAGAGGCGAGGGAAGCATCGACCAGCCCTGTAATGGCCGGTCTCTTGGCATTTTCCTTATCAGCAGCATGTGGGCTCACTTTTCTCGTATCTCCAAATCCAAAGCTATCGGACATCTCCTTGTCATGTCCAGTAATCACGCAACCATCTCCTTCCCGGTCGTTCCCCACAATCATCTTTTTCCTCCATTCCTCCTTCAGCCGCGCGGCGGCATCGCTTCCGGCAGAGAAAGAGCGGACATGGAAATTGCCGGCGAGCAGGGTGACAGCTGATGCCCGTGGCGGAGCGGGGCCGACGGATCTGGTGCAGAGGGAGTATAGGAGGCGCACCGGAAAGTTTCGGGCCGATCGCGATGCCATTTATATCGAGGGTTTTTGCAGGAAAAAACCGTGCCCAGTGGGGAGTAGTAATTCTAGCTTAAACACGAAAATTTAACATTCAATGGTGTTCGTTCCATTTATTTTCGTGTTTTCCATGTTTATTTTATATTTATATTTTCCCATTCTAGGTTATTTTCTTTGGTTCTTGGTCCATTTTGTGTCTTGTCGTGCGTTTTCTTTATTTTGGTTGTTTTTGGTTTCTTGTTCGTTTTTCCCCTTTTTCAGAATTTTTCTTGTCGGTGGTGATGTGCAGGTTAGGTGGTTGTGTCAGTTATGAGTTTATTGCGGGGATTGCTATCTAGGAGGTTGAGGCCGGGTCAAGTAGAAAAAGTCGGAATCCAATTCTGAGTTCGAATGCGTGGATACGAGCCCGGAAATCACATCTAAGTCACAGGAATTCCTCACCGCGGGAGAGGTCGCGACCGCGGTGAGCAAAAGAAGGTCCAGCGCCCAGTTTTCTTCTCCGCGGCCACGGAGGAAGAGGTCGCGGCCGCGGAGAGCAAGAGAGTCCCAGACCCCAACGACAGACAAGAAATGTCGCAGCTGCGGTAGAGGTCGCGGCCGCGGAGCACTTCTTCACCGCGGCCCGCGAGCTTCTCTGCGGCCGCGGAGAGCGCGTTTTTCAGAATTTTAAGTAGCAGTGTTTTTAAAAAGGAGGGATCATTATGTTTTTACGTAGGTTTTGAATGTTCTTCATATTTTAACTCAAAAACTCATACTTTCACTTAGTTTATTTTGGTATTCAATCTTGGAGAGAAAAACTCTGAGATTCGACTTTTGGATTCGGCTTGTTCTTAATTTCGACATTGGATACATTAATCGTAAGCTTTTATTTCATTTTCTTTATTATTGAGATGGCTAAGATTTTGGAGTATGTTGATGTTGAATGCATTATGAGTAGCTAAATTCATTAGCTAGTGGTAGGGGATTGTCATTCCGGTTCAATTTCATTTATTTGCATGATAATTGCTCAATCTCCTTGAGTTGTGCTTAACCTAGGGTTTTAGATGCTTGATCACCATCGTAATCTAATTAATAGATCTCAGAACCGGAAGGGAAGAGATTGTTCAAAATAGGCTCGTTGAGAATAGGCTTGTTCGTTATAGTATTGCTTATGAGTTAATTGTTTCAAGAATTACTCGTTCACGTCTATCCTCTTGTTACGAAGAGTTATTGAGGATAGACCTCTAAATGAGTAGTTTGTCGAGTCATTTAACTGAGCTCTTGATTGCTCGTTAAATGTATTGAGAACCGGAAGCGATTGTCCCCGATACCCTAGCCCATTTATTCACTATTTGAATTCGTGTTTTGAGTTTTGAGTTGAGAATTTCTAGTCTTGTTTTTACAATTCGTAGTCGGTAAAGCAATCCAAATCATTCTGGTTAGAGTGTTAGGATTGTTTTCTCTTGATTGTGATTGAATATTCGCGCAATTTAATCCGGCCAACCTTCCTCGTGATACGACCCGGTGTTCGAATCTTTCAATTCTACTCCGGTTAACATATTTACAACAAATTGGCGCCGTTGCCGGGGAAGGTTTAGGACTTATTTTGTGCGCCTATTCATTTTGTTTTCAGTGTTTCGCTTATTTTCGTGATTTCTTGATTTTTCGTGTTTCTTTTTGTTTCGTTTTCTTATTTAGTCGTAGTGATTTTCTTTTATTTGTTTTCCTTGTTCTTTTATTGTCTATCTGGTGCTCGTGACGGTTTTTGTCTTTGTGTATGCGAACCATGAGTGGACGTGTACTATCTCCTATCGACAAACCGTTCAACGAGAGCCTGAGAGAGCTACTGGAAGAGATTACTCTCGAATCACACGAAGGAGACGAACATTCTCCGAAATCGTCCGAAGGCAGCAACTTCGACATGGGTGAACAGCAGCAACAACCGCCCCGTAACACCCTCCGAACCTTAGCCCATCTAGTTATCGGGCCAGTCACCTCATGCATTCGTTTGCCGGATGCTGCACAGAATTATGAGCTCAAAATGATTCACTACAACCAGATGTCGGCGATCCATAGGCTCCCAAGCGAAGACCCGCTTAACTTTATCCGGGAATTTTACAATGTCCTCAATAACTTTCCTCTCAACAGGCTGAATGACGAGCAGTTAAAGATGAGGTGCTTCCCAGAGACACTGAAAGTCCGAGCCAAGGCTTGGTTCATGACGCTTGCACCGACATCTCTAACCACCTGGACCGAAGTGTACTCGAAGTTCATTGGGAGGTACGACTCCCATCAAAAGACCAGGAGCTCCGGTCACAGATCGTTTCATTTACTCAATTACCAAGTGAGCCTCTTCACGAAGCTTGGGAGAGGTTCAAGGATCTCCAGCGGCATTGTCCTCATCACAATCTTTCGCCGGGACTATTGATGAATTGTTTCTACGACTCCCTCAATCAGAACTTGCAATATATGGTTGATAATGCTGCGGGAGGAGACATCGGTGCAATGACGGCCGAAGAGATGTTTGAAAGTTTTGAGACGATGAGTGCTAACTCGTCTCAAAAGAGCAATCGAGGAAAGAGGGCCGTAGTCGGTGAAGTGTCTTCTTCTCAAGACATGACGGCCCATCAAATAGCCGAACTCACAGAGCAAATGCGGCTAATGAATGCAAGAGGAGGTTAGTCAGTGCAGACCATGGCGGTAGACACATGCGGGGCATGTGGAGTTCAGGGGCATAGATCCGAGGTGTGTCCATCAGCATTTGACCAAGATTTTCGAGAACAGTATGCAGACGTCACTGCCCTCCAAGGATATCAGAACCAGCAACCCAACGACCCCTTCTCCAACACGTACAACCCCGGGTGGAGAAACCACACTTCTCGTGGTCCAACAAAAACAACACCCTCCAGCCACCTCGTCCAAACTTCGCCCAACAGCAACCCCGTCCCAACTTCATCCCCTGTCTGAACTACCAACAACAACAGCACCGCAACAGCAAGCCCAAGGGTCCGAATCGAGCTCGTCGAACCAAGATGACAAGCTAGACAAGATCCTTCAGTTTATCATTAACCAGGACTCATCGATTAAGCGTCTCAAGATGCAAGTGGGCCAGCTTGCCACGAGAGTTGGGAACATAGAGGCCGAGTCCGACAAAGGGAAACTTTCGAGCCAGTCCGAGCAAGCCAAGGCAATAACGGTGTTAAGGAGCGGGAAAGAAGTTGACAACATGGTAAAAATCCCCGAGCCTGATGAACCCAAGCCAGCCAACCAGCCCAAAAAAGCAGAGGGAAGCATGGAGAAGAGCACAGAAACCGACTCAGGGAAGCCAACGGACGGCTCAATGTTACACAAGTCACCGAACCCCTACAGATCACGCATACCTTTTCCGAGCCGACATCGAGATGAGAAGCAAGAACAACAATTCAGGGACCTATACAACATGCTCTCGAAAGTCAACGTCAACTTTCCTCTTCTAGATGTGATAAAAAATATGCCATCGTACGTAAAGTTCTTCAAGGACTTGGTCACAAAGAAGAGGAAGTTCGGAGATGGGGAGAAGGTGGTGGTCTATAAAGCAGCAAGTGCAATGCAGCATGACTTGCCTAAGAAGGAACGAGATCCCGGGGGCTTCGTGATTAAAATAGCCCTCGAGAATGGGAAAGAAGCTTCGGGAATGCTTGACCTCGGAGCAAGAATCAACCTTATGTCGTTTTCTATCTTTCAGCGGCTGGGTCTCGGAGACTTGAGACCCACTCGTATGTGCTTACAGCTAGCCGACCGTTCGATCCGATACCCCAAGGGGGTGGTGGAAGATGTCGTTGTTCGAGTAGGAAAACTTATCGTCCCGGTGGACTTTGTTTTTCTAGATGTGGGGGACGTTCAAGAGAATGGGAATGATCATACCATCCTTCTTGGCAGACCGTTTATGGCCACCACCAAAAATCTTATTGATGCAAGGAATGGGACCTTGAACATGACGGTTCTGGGCGAGTCTGTATTTATCTCCGTCCGAGAAGTCACATCCGCATCTTCAGTTAACTTTGTGGAGGAGTGTGCCTTTGTTGATGCAGCAGACCCGTTCGTTGGAGAGATGACCATGCGGGACTTGGAGGAAAGGTCATTGCCCGATCTTGATGAGGAAGAAGAGCCAACCATCGAGCTCTTTGTAGCAGACGAGCCCGAAAAACCGACCCCATCCACACTAGAGCTTAAGGAACTACCTCGTCATCTCCAATATGTATTCCTTGACGACGAGAAGCAAAAGCCGGTTATTATCTTTGCCGAACTCAACCGGGAAGAGAAGAAGGAGCTGATTGAGGTACTTAAGAGGAACCAGAAGGCTATTGGTTGGAGCCTCGGTGACATAAAAGAGATCAGTCCTTCCACGTGCATGCACCAGATCATTTTGGAGGATTGTCCCAAACTATATCGGGATAACCAACGGCGGCTAAACTCGAACATGATGGAAGTGGTGAAGAAGGAAGTGTTGAAGCTCTACTCCGAGGGACTCATCTATCCAGTGGCCGATAGTGAATGGGTCAGCCCGATCCATGTAGTGCCAAAGAAAGAGGGTATCACGGTCATTGAGAATGAGAAGAATGAGATGGTCTCCACCCGAATCACTACCGGGTGGCGAATGTGTATTGATTACCGACGACTCAACGCCGTGACAAAGAAGGACCACTTTCCGTTGTCGTTCATTGATCAGATTCTCTACCGTCTCTCGGGCCATCAGTTCTACTGCTTCTTGGATGGACTCTCGGGCTACTACCAAGTAGCCATAGCCCCGGAAGATCAGCTTAAGGCAACTTTCACGTTCCCATTTGGCACATTTGTTTTCAGACGGATGCCTTTCGGCCTATGCAATGCACCCAGGACCTTCCAACGGTGCATGTTCTCTATATTCTCCGACATGCTCCAGGATTGCTTACAGGTATTTATGGATGACTTTTCTATATTTTTCACTTCATTCTCTGATTGTCTCCATAATTTATCTCGTGTGTTTGAGAGGTGTATTGAATCTAATTTGAATTTGAGTTGGGAGAAGAGTCATTTTATGGTGACTAGTGGAGTTGTGCTAGGTCATGTGGTGTCTAATCGGGGGATTGAGGTTGACAAAGCAAAAGTTGATGTTATTAAAAAACTTCCCCCACCTGTGAATGTGAAAGGTGTTAGGAGTTTTTTAGGTCATGCTGACTTTTAATAGGCGATTTATTAAAGATTTTTCAAAAATTAGCCAGCCTTTGTGTCACTTGCTTGCTAATGATGTGTCATTTGTGTTTGATAATGCATGTGTAGATGCCTTTGAGAAATTGAAAAATAAGCTTGTGACCGCTCCTATTGTAATTGCTCCTGACTGGTCTTTGCCTTTTGAGATTATGTGTGATGCTTCAAACCTTGCTGTTGGAGCCGTTTTAGGCCAACGAGTTGACAAATTGCTTCGTGTAATTTATTGTGCTAGTTTGACCTTAAATGGTGTCCAATTGAATTATACTACCACTGAGAAAGAACTTTTAGCCGTTGTATTTTCTCTTGAGAAACTTAGATCTTACATTTTGGGATCTAAAGTGATTGTGCATTCTGATCATGTGGCTCTTAGGTATCTTTTGAGTAAAACTCAATCGAAACCTAGGCTTATTCGGTGGATTTTACTTTTGCAAGAGTTTGATGTAGAGATTCGTGACAGGAAAGGGTGTGAAAATGTTGTAGCTGATCACTTGTCTCGCATTGTTCCTTCTGACCCTTCACTTGCATTGCATGAGCATGTTGGCATAAATGATGATTTTCCATATGAGCATGTGAGTGAAGTGACTAGTGTTCCTTGGTATGCGGACATAGTGAACTATTTATCAGATGGAGTCTTGTTGTCTAACCTCTCATCGCAAGAGAGGAAACAGTTTGTTTTGATGTGCATGAGTTACTTTTGGGATGACCCACACCTTTTCAAGGTGGGAAAGGATGAGATTCTTCGGAGGTGTGTGCCCGAAGAAGAACAATTGGATGTCCTTACCTTTTGCCACAAGCTTCATTGTGGAGGACACTTTGGAGGTCGAAAGACCGCCTTTAAGGTTCTCCAATCAGGTTTATTCTGGCCTAGACTCTTTAAAGATGCTTATGAATTTTGCAAGTCTTGTGATTGGTGTCAAAGAATTGGGAATATTGGCCCAAGGAATGAGATGCCCCTTGTGAACAATTTGCAAGTTGAAATTTTTGATGTGTGGGGCATTGATTTCATGTGACCTTTTCCCAAGTCTTTTGGCTTTGAGTATTTTCTTCTTGCCGCAGATTACGTGTCCAAGTGGGTCGAGGCTATCCCCACTACGACATGTGATGCTAACATTGTGATCAAGTTTTTGCAAAGTCCTATCTTGAGTAGGTCCGGATTCCCACGGGCCATTGTGAGTGACGGGGGCAAGCATTTTTGCAACCAAGTGTTTGAGACGTTGATGAAAAAATACGACATCTCCCATAAAGTGGCCACTCCATACCATCCACATACCTTAGGCCAAGCAGAAACGAGCAACAAGCAGATAAAAGACCATTCTTGAGAAGACGGTGAATTCGTCTAAGAAGGATTGGTCGAGTCGGCTCGATGATGCACTGTGGGCCCAAAGGACAGCTTACAAAGGAGATTTGGGGATGAGCCCGTTCAAACTTGTTTACGGGAAATCGTGCCATCTGCCAGTGGAGATTGAGCACAAGACGTTTTGGGCGATTAAAAAGGAGAATTTCGATCTTGATGCCGTCGGACGAGAGAGGATGTTGCAACTCTCGGAGCTAGAAGAGTGGAGGAACGAAGCCTACGAGAACTCCAAGATCTATAAAGAAAAGACAAAAAGGCTCCATGATGCCACTCTTGTTCAAAAGAATCTCAAGCCCGGAATGAAGGTACTTCTCTTCAATTCTCGCCTTCGTCTTTTTTCGGGAAAGCTCAAGTCCCGTTGAAGTGGGCCCTATATCGTTGATGACGTGTTGTCATTTGAAGCTGTCCGGTTGCGTAATCCAGCGAACAACAATTTATTCTTGGTTAACGGGCAGAGAGTGAAACCATATTTTAATGGGGAGTTCATAAAGCGGCATGTCGAGACCGTCAGTCTCGGCGACCCAGTCTACGCGTGATCAAGGAATTATGCCGAGCTCCCGGCATTAAACCGAGTATCCTTTGTATTGCTGTATTTTTTCTATTTTATTCTATATATATATATATATATATATAATCTGCAGGTCGCGGCCGCGGCTAGTAATCTTGGTCCCAGATGCACAACTTCAGAGAAAAAATCCCACGGCTTCGGGGGTTGTTGCGGCCGCGGAGGATTTGGTCGCCGCTCTCAGGAAGTCTGCGGCCGCGGAAGTCACGGTTTAAAGAGTGTAAGGGCAGATTTTCAGCACACTTTCTCCTCGAAACAAAAATCTCTCACGCACCGGCGATACCTTACCTTCACCTCCATCGATTCTTCTCAACAAAAGTTTACCAAATTCACAGAAGTTTATCATTCAAGTCTACCTTCTATTAATTTGGAGTCCACGAGGCTGATTTTGTGAGGAATTAGGCTTCACTACGGGAACCCTAGGTCGCACTCACGTTCTTACCGGCACCTTCTCCGCCCTGCTAGTCACCGGCACCGTCCACTCCTGCGGTCTCTCAGGCGTCGTGCCCTCCGGCCACCCCCACCAGTCCAACCTCATCCTCCGTCATCCTTTCATATCTGAGCCCCGCAACAAGGTCCCAACTTTCGGTAATCAAGTTTCTTGCTCTTGTCTTGGAAAAATTATAGTGTTGAGTTGTTGATGATGCATTGAGGTCGAAGAGAAGATACTCGTTGGGACTCCACCATTGGCATCTTCTCCAAGCTTGACTTCCATATTGTGCATTCAAGGTGTTTGACAAATTGCCCGAACGACTTTTGACATGGGCAAGACTCCGATTCGTCCTATGAAGAAAAAAACCACTCAAGCTGAACCGGCTAAGAAGTGAAAGGCGGGCGAATTCTCGTCCCGAGGTGCCCCTTCGGAAGATGACCGAGATGATCTTTCGGACCAATACGGTGCTCTTTTCCCTATTTATTCCCAAAAAGAAGGCGATATCTACTCCCGCCTCTCGCAAAAAGAGATGGTGCGGTCGATGGCGGTGGATTAGAACCTCTTGAATGACTTAGGTATTCTCGAGGATGTGATGAAGTACCTTAAAGTCCTCAACCTAACCGAATATGCCAAAATCGAAGAGCCGTCGTATCGAGGTCTTATGCTTGAGTTTTTTAGCTCGTTCGTGCTCGCCGATGGGAATGAGTACTTCACTTGTCAGTTTTGGGGGAAAGATTACACAGTGGATAATGCTGTCATGAAGAAGCTTTGCGGGTTCAACATATCCGGGACGAGACACAAGTCCATAGAGTTTGACGCTAAGAAGAGTTGGGCCGAGCTTTCCCCGCACACAAAGTGGGATTCCGGCGGCATTCCCAACGGTCTCATTGAGGACTTAGCCACTGCTGTTGTGCACAAATTCATTTGCTACAATATTTCCGGGAAAAATGAGGCGAATAAAGTGAGCGAGGTCGAGCTCTTCCTTCTCTGGGGATGCGAGCAGGAGCGTCGGTGTGTTCTATGACCTTTCTGCAGAACAGTTTGCAGGATATCGCACTCAGTCAGCGTGGAACACCGGCACTTGGACATTTTGTTACCGCACTGACCAAGCATTTTGGCATTGATCAACGGGATCCCAAGTTTGCCTGATCTAAGGACAAGTCTCAGGTGCGGTGTATCAATGAGCATGAGCTCAAGTCGTCCGGCCTCATCATAAACCGGACTACCCTTCAGGAGTATATGAAGCGCAAGGCTTACTCGACCTACTTCAAGAAGCTCCAGCAGAGCGCGCCTAACCCCGACCAGGCAGGGCCGTCTCGGCAACCGACAGAGGGAGATGATCATGAGCACATGAACGTCGATGATGGCTCTTTCCTCCCACGTCCACCAGTCTGGACTCTGGCTCCGAACCCACAGCCTGAAGTTCTTCTACCGCAGCCACTGGGATGGTGGACCTCGTTTCAGACTCAGTATACGACAGACATCCATTTAATCCACGACCGCTTTGACACCCAGGATAGCAGATTGACCGGTCTTGAGGGCCGTCAGACCACCCAGTGGGCCAGCTGGGAGATCCACCAGACGAATTGGTGAGACCATTGGGAGACCCAGCAGCAGACCCACTGGACTCAGATGGGCACGCACTTCGACAACTTCACCGAGGGTCTCCGGTCTATTCGCGAGCGGTAGGACCAGCAGGATGCTCGACTGGACAGCTGGGATCAGAGGTTCACCCAGTGGGACACCCGTTGGGGCTCGAGACCCAGTCAGCCTTACTCACTACCGCCACCACTGGACGCACAGTGACTTGTCACTGTGCTTTGTACGTTTTTTTTTTTCTCTTTATCTTTTACTTTTGTACAATTTCTTTGCTTTTCGAGTCAGTTTATTATATGGTCTAACTCTCTTTCGCTACTGTAATGCCCCGTTTATTCGTATAATATTTGGGAATTATTTAAATTAGTATTGCT